CTGGGTTCATGTTCAGGAAGTGTAGAATGGTTTACGGTAATAAACGGTTCATCATCGTTGTCCTGTATAATTTGTGTGCAAAGTTTACACTCCCGAGAGAGGTATTTCACTTTATTGAACAGTTCCCTAGATTCGTTAGTTGTGGAGTGCCTTTCTATTTCCATGCAGATTTTATGAATATGTGCGTTTTTATCCTGTCTACAGCTGATTTTGATTACTTTATTGATGTTTTTCAATTTTAACTCTTTATCAGATATTGTTGCTAGTAAGGCTTTTAGGTCTTTCCATGTCTCCAGCAAACTGACAGTGTTATCAGATAACCGAGGTTTGGATTTGATCTCTGTGTTTCCAGGTGTACATCTTTTTGTCTAGGCATTTCGACAGAGCTCAGTGCTGTCACTATTTTCTCAGTAGAGGGTATTGGACACCTTGTCGTCTTGTTTAATTTCAATGCCCTTAGTTTGCGATGAAAGCTCGCCACGAAGAGTTTATGATCTGATCCACATTGCATGCCAGGTCTTGTTTTAACATTGATAATAGAGGACCGCGATCTACAGCTTATTAAGATATAATCAATTTAATTTTTCGTTTTTTGATCGGGCGATGTCCAAGTTGAGAGTCGTCTTAAGTGGTGTTTAAACATGGTATTTTGAAAACTTGAAGATATTTTCAACACTACTATTTTACTAATTGAGGGTTGATACGAGGTATCCAATTTTTTGCAACCATTTGCATTATTTTCTAATCTGCAAAACTGCATATGTATTATAATAATTCATAATATATATTCTCATTATAATTATTTTATTCTACATTTATGGGCTATGCTTTTCTCTATACCCATGCACAAATAGCAAGTAGGAAAACTACACCAATGGAACCACCAGGAATGAGCATTTGAAAAAATACTGCAATGTTCTTTAAAATCGCGTATGCGTGAGCTTCTGTTTAATATTAATTCAATTATCACATATATTGTGAATAAAAAAAAAGAATTATTATTAATGCGAATAAAGTCACGTGCGAACTTTTACAAGGCGTGTGCAAAATTAAGTATTCAAGTAGCAGTCCGTGGCGAGATTTTTTAAAACAAAACGAAAAGATATAATTTGTTGTCTTAGTTTGTGCGGGGAATAACAAATTCAGATTATTGTAAATTAAATAAATGGCAATATGTAACGGCTTCTGCGATTTTGCATTCGAGACATAATTAATTTTACAAGTATTTTAAACGAAACCAGCAACTTAAACGTAAGGAACGGTTAAATTAGAGTTAGTGATAAATATCGGAAAATGCAGTTGAAAATGTACCGCAAAAGACTGACGTGGTCTAATAGGTTAATGTTGTTTATTTATTTTGTCCTGTAAATGTCGACACTTTTAACTAAATAAATATTGAATATGGATCAAGATAAACTTGAACTTTAATATTGAGAGCTGCTACCTGCAAAGGAAAATTCATTTCCGATTATACGATAAAATGCAGGGGGTTGTATTTCAAAAAAACTTAAATTGAACTGAAGTAGGTGGCATTTAACAAAATAGATAAGAATTAAAAGTTCAGATTTTCACGAAATTATATATTTTCACATGACAATGCTTTGGACAACACCGTGTCTTTATCAAATGTAATATTTACAAACTACCTGCTACTATATATACCGAAAAATGACAGTAAAACCGTAATTAATGTAAGAATCTAAGTTCAATAAAGAAGAGGTATTTAAATATAATTGATCGTTAAGCAATACATTTGAATGTCTCATTTTGTTCATCTCCATGGGTTCCAATAAATTTCTCAAATGTCACTAGTAAAAGCTATCAAAAACAAAGCTTTCGAAAATAACATAATATTTACACGTGCAGATAAAGGGAACACAGTCATAGCTATCGATCTCCCAGAATATATTTCAAAAACCAACATTTTTTTTTAATCTCCACACTAGTATTTTTTAACAAATATGAATCCACAACGGCCGAAATGATATTCTTTAGTTAAATTACATAAACAAGATATGCCCATTAGACCATTCGTGTCTTATGTAACAGCTCCAGCAGTGAAACTCTCAACAAAATTAGTAAATATTTTAAAGTTCCACACAGATTTTAAACCAAAATTTGCAATAAAAAATTCTTTTCAATTAATCAACAAAATTAAAGATATCAAAATCCCTTCTAACGCAACATTATTGTCTTTTAATGTACAAAATTTATTTCCCAATATTCCAACTATGAATGTGATAGATTTAGTAGATTTCACCCTAACTCGGAAACAGGTTAACCCATTGGTGAAACAAGCTTTATTAGATTGCTTAATAGTATCTCTAGACCAAAATTATTTGGAATTTAATGGACAGGTTTATCATATCATACTAGAACATCCTTTAAGTAAAAGTTTTTTATGGTGGTATATATACGTGGATGATGTCTTTGCGTGCTTTGTTGGAACGGACAGACAATTGAATTTTTTTAAATTACATTAACTCATTACATAATCGTATAAAATTCACTATCGGGATTGAACAAGATAACTCCACTAATTTTTTAGACTTAAGTATTACGAAAACACAAAACAAATTAGATTTTTCCATTTACCATAAGCCTTCACACACGGACACAGTCTTACATAACAACTCAAATCACCCATTTACACACACATACTTCTTAATACGCCACTCTTGACAGAAAATTACAACAAAGAACTTAATATCATTAAACAAATAGCACTGAACAACGGCTACAATCCGTCCATTATCGATAAAATTATAAATAAAAAACAAATCCAGACAACAGTAAACTCTATTTATTCGAAACCTAATACAGAACACGAACAATTTGAAACAATTACATACATAGGAGAACCCAGTGAAAAAGTTTCAAAACATTTGTCAAAATGTGGTTTAAAAATAGCTTTTTGAACTAACAACACAATAGGAAAATTTTTAAAAAACAATAAAACGAAATGTCCAAAATCTAAAAAATCAGGTGTCTACAGGTTGAAATGTGGATCTTGTCCTAAAATTTATATTGGACAAATAGATAGATCCTTTAAGAAACGCATTAACAAACATAAAAGAGCGTTTAAAAACAACAGCCTAGATTCTAATTATGCTACACACTTAAACACAGTAAAACACATTTTTGACGACAACTTTGATATTTTACATATAGCCACAAAAAGTAGAAAATTAAATTTATTGGAAGCCATGGAGATTAACAAAATGTATGTATGTATTGCTTAACGATCAATTAAACTTAAATGCCTCTCCTTTTGTTTGTTTATTGTCATTTTTCGGTATATATGGTAGCAGATAGTTTGTAAATATTACATTTGATAAAGACACGGTGTTGTCGAAACAATTGTCATGTAAAAATAAATATTTTGTGAAAATCTGAACTTTCAGTTCCTATTTATTTTGAAAAAATTTTATCAGCCGCATGTTATGTAAATGGTTGGTAAAGTTGAATGAATCTACCCAAGGACGGAATCTTACTAATCTAAAAATTATATAGCAAATATTCCAATTCCAATTAAGCAATTGACACACCCTTATTCATTGTCGAAAAATTTGTATCATTGGCTTCCAGACCCAAATAATAATTAACGCCTTGATTTGCATTCACATAAACTTAATTAGACACATAACTTACTTACTTAGTAAAAGAAAATCATGCACCAAATAATATGTGTGAAGCAAGTTATTCTACCGAGTCTCCTGAGAAACGCGCTACTGATTAAAAGTACACGACGCAATTACATATTTGACCTGCAATAAGGAAACGGATGTGGTGGACCCATTTCTCAATTTAGCTATTTGAACGCGGCTCAAATTGCTCAGTTTGTGTCAACAGAGGAAAAACTAATACAGAGTGAGTCACGGTGAGCGTGTGAAGAATATATGAGGAACCGACCAAGACGTCTTTCAAAATTTAATTTTCAGCAATTTGGATTCATAAATTAATCTTTGATTTTTAAGTTTAAGCGAAAAAATCAAATTTTGCAGAAAGTTCTTGGACTGTATTGGACATACTTCTCTTGCCAAGCGGCCATAGATTTTAAAGAGTAGTAAAAATATTGTTTTTAAAATGACAGTCAATTCCGTATAACAAATTTCAACCCACTGACAGGTTGTTATCAACTTCCATCGAATTTTTGTAAATGATAGTCTTTTATTTCAAAAGCAGTAATAGAAAACTGAAGAAAAATAATCTCAAAGACTTATTGCAACAAAAAAATGCCACTTCTTTCTTTAAAATACTTCAGATGCTTACCCATACATTGTAGCTGCTAGGTTAATAATTATTTTTCTTAGTTTGCTTGCCACATGAAAAATTGCTTCTTCTCTCTTTAAACATCTCAAGATGTGTACCCGTGCATTGTAGCTGTTAAGTTGATAAATATTTTTCTTAATTGGATTTTAACATAAAAAATTGCTACATCTTTCTTCAAAATTCTTAACATGTGTACCGTGCGTTGTACTGTTAAGCTGATAATTATTTTCGTAAATGATAGTCTTTTATTTCAAAAGCAGTAATAGAAAACAGAAGAAAAATAATCTCAAAAACTTATTGCTACAAAAAAATGCTACTTCTTTCTTTAAAATACTTCACATGCTTACCCATACATTGTAGCTGTTAAGTTGATAATTATTTTTCTTAGTTTGCTTGCCACATGAAAAATTGCTTCTTCTCTGTTTAAACATCTCAAGATGTGTACCCGTGCATTGTAGCTGTTAAGTTGATAAATATTTTTCTTAATTTGATTTTAACATAAAAAATTGCTACTTCTTTCTTCAAAATTCTTAACATGTGTACCGTACATTGTACTGTTAAGCTGATAATTATTTGTGAACAATTTGAACAATAATTTTGTTAAAGTACCGCTACGCTAAACTTATACACCCTGTACTTAAACTTTGCTATTCTACTTTTTAGATTACAGAATTACACTATTACACATTTTTTTAATATTCCTACAATTGCCATTAAAGAATACTTACGTGGTCCACTCTAGCTGGCACTGTAACTCCTGAAAACAAATAAGTGGGTTTTTAGATAATTTATTTTACATACAAATATGTTTATTGATGCTACACACCATTTTTAATTGGTAAGCCGATATTATATGGATATCTATTAACACAATTTATTACTCACTAAAATGTCAATAAATTAGAACAAGTCTCAATTTTTTACAGGAAATTGATCAATACATCGTATTCAATTTCGATTTACACGGGAACAAAGAAGACGAAGTTGTTCAACTTATTAAACAATCAATTGATTAGTTTGGTAGTGAAAAATAGCGTTTAACGTACATTATAGGCTTCCTATTTGTTTACCTAATGAAGAAATTTGATTTTACGCAAATAGCTGTTTTGATAATAATATGCATAGAATGTTAAGATTGTAATTATACATTTTAAATTTTGGGCTAAATTATTTTAACCTTGCGCAATGATCTTCGATGCTTAATCCCCATTGAAGGTTTTCCTGAGTAGTTGAGCATTTTCCTGTGATTTTTTAAACCTTTTATAATTCGATGGAAATTGGTTTAAGAAATTCAAGATGATATATTTTTTTATTAATTTAATAACATTACCATATTAGGCAGTAATCCTAAATCCTAAATGGATGAATGAAAGTGAAGCTGACATTTCGATTTCGTTGTTCCCTTTAAACAAAAGTTAACTTCGAATTGAACAAAATGAACCTTTTATAGTCGGCCCAAAATAAATTCAACACGGATTCACAAGATTGAGAAGTAATAGTCCCAATGAGCATTAGATATTAATTATTTTTTTAAATAGCTTCGTTAGTAAAGAGATGAATAGAGTAGAATTCAACATAGGCTTGAGAAACGTGGTAAATGGATACAAAAATCTATTGAACTGAGGTGGCTTTTACTTGATGAAAATCCATTTATCAAAATAAATAAGAACTAAAAGTTCAGATTTTCACGAAATTATATATTATGACATGACAATTGCTTCGCCAACACCGTGTCTTTATCAAATGTAATATTTACAAACTACCTGCTGCTATATATACCGAAAAATGACCATAAAAACTTAATTAATGTTGTTGTGAGAAGTTAAGTTCAATACAGGAGAGGTATTTAAATCTAATTGATCGTTAAGCAATACATTTGAATGTCTCATTTTGTTAATCTCCATGGCTTCCAATAAATTTAATTTTCTACTTTTTGTGGCTGTATGTAAAATATCAAAATTGTCGTCAAAAATGTGTTTTTCTATGTTTAAGTGTGTAGCATAATTAGAATCTAGACTATTGTTTTTAAACGCTCTTTTATGTTCGTTAATGCGTTTCTTGAAGGTTCTACCTGTTTGTCCAATATACATTTTAGGACAAGATCCACATTTCAACCTGTAGACACCTGATTTTTAGGATTTTGGACATTTTGATTTATTGTTTTTTAAATATTTTCCTATTGTGTTGTTAGTTCTGAGAGCTGTTTTTAAACCACATTTTGATAAATGTTTTGAAACTTTTTCACTAGGTTCTCCTATGTATGTAATTGTTTTAAATTGTTCGTGTTCTGTATTTGGTTTCTGATAAATAGAGTTTACTGTTGTCTGTATTTGTTTTTTATTTATAATTTTATCTATAATGGACGGATTGTAGCCGTTGTTCAGTGCTATTTGTTTAATGATATTAAGTTCTTTGTTGTCATTTTCTGTTGAGATTGGAGTATTAAGAAGTCTGTGTATAAAAGAGTTAAATGCAGCCATTTTGTGTGTATAAGGGTGATTTGAGCTGTTATGTATGACTGTGTCCGTGTGTGAAGGTTTATGATATATTGAAAAATCTAATTTGCTTTGCACTTTCGTAATAGTTAAGTCTAAAAAATTAATAGAGTTATCCTGTTCAATCTCGATAGTGAATTTTATACGATTATGTATTGAGTTAATGTAATTTAAAAAAGAATTCAATTGTCTGTCCGTTCCAACAAGCAAGCAAAGACATCGTCCACATTTCTATACCACCATAAAAAACTTTTACTTAAAAGATGTTCTAGTATGATATTTTCCAAATTATCCTCGGCTAACAAAGGACTAAGTGGGTTTCCCATAATCAAACCTTCTTTAGAGATATAAATCTGTCCATTAAATTCAAAACAATTTTGGTCTAAAGATACTATTAAGCAATCTAATAAATCTTGTTTCACCAATGGGTTAACCTATTTCCGAGTTAGGGTGAAATCTACTAAATCTATCACATTCATAGTTGGAATATTGGGAAATAAATTTTGTACATTAAAAGACAATAATGTTGCGTTAGAAGGGATTTTGATATCTTTAATTTTGTTGATTAATTCAAAAGAATTTTTTATTGCAAATTTTGGTTTAAAATCTGTGTGGAACTTTAACAATTTTGATATATTACACACAGCCACAAAAAGTAGAAAATTAAATTTATTGGAAGCCATGGAGATTAACAAAATGAGACATTCAAATGTATTGCTTAACGATCAATTAGATTTAAATACATCTCCTTTATTGAACTTAAATTCTCGCAACAACATTAATTAAGGTTTTATGGTCATTTTTCGGTATATATAGTAGCAGGAAGTTTGTAAATATTACATTTGATAAAGACACGGTGTTGTCGAAAAAATTGTCATGTCATAATATATAATTTCGTGAAAATCTGAACTTTTAGCTATTCTCTTGAAAAATTTTAAGTTTTTAAGGTCGTTCAAAGGGCAAGAATTTCTCTAAAAAGCTTATATTAGAGCAAACATATTTTTTGTAATCTTTAAATACAATATTATTATGCAGACGTTGTATATGATGGACCTCGTCTAAATGTTCAGTTTAAGAAAAGATTGCAAAGAATTCTAAATTCGTGAATTCGCTTTTTGTTAACCCTATATCAAGAGATGATGTGTCATAGCTTCAGTTGGCTTGTCAGTTGCATGAAATACTTACTTTTTAGGCTGCATACTGTTTAACTCTGTAACGCCTCTGATAAGAGCTTTCTTGGTTACTAATTGATTAATTTTCGAAAGTTTATTATTTTACATACTTTTGGAGGTGATAGAATTAATTATTTAAATACTGTTATTTGATTACAGGTTTAATATGTTTTGTGTTTTGTAACATGTAGCTAAATATTGTTGGTGATGTTGATTCTTGTGAAGTTGCATTCATTGTTTAAAGGGTTAAGCTATGCTGTCCGTTTCTACTCAATTGAATTCTATATGTGCTTAAAAACCGACAAAACAACATCAAAACTACTGCATTCTATTGGCAGTATATATTTCACAATGAGGAGCAAACGACCGCAGTTATTTCTACCATCCAATTAATTTTCCTGCAACTATCAAAAGAGCATAAAGATTGGTTGATACTTTTATGTACCGTAGAAATAAAATTAATAGCTACGTTGAAAATTGGTCGTTTTACTATTTCTCAATTCTAATTAAATATTATTTATTATTATATTCTACGCTTAACTGACTGCATCGAAAGTAGAAGATGTAATATTGTCAAACTTTTGAATGTGGTATTAACTTGGAACTTGAAACTAATAATAAAAAGAAAAACAAATAGTTTATGCAACAAAAAAATATATACAGTTTCTCCTTCTGCAAGCCACTGAGCGATCGTATGCTAACTAATAATCGATTCTCACCCCCCACGCGATGTAAAAAATTATAATGGTTACACTTTCTTTCCGCGCACAGATATGGAGCGAATTGATCAAAATGTGGGCGATACGCACCTTGCGGGGTATAATTAGTAACAATTATTCATTGCGATCTCGACTCGGTCTCACACTAATCCATTTTCACACTCTTCGTAACACTTTTTCCGTCACCAGAAATAAATTATTCCGATTGTATTCCGCGTATCGTTAACCTTCGCCGATGGACTAGTTTATCATTTTCTTTTAAATAACTACAAAAAATTGGCATTTCATGCAGGCAGATAAAACTTTTGCATATCGCGGTGGCAGTGGCGTGCGCCACCTTTCCGTATAAACGACGAGTTTCCAGGAGCTTCTTTTTTTATCCTCGCAAACAACAAAAAGGAGAAAAAGAGTTTAAAACATTATTTTATTCATAGAATTGTTTTATTAAGAAATGTTTTCGAGCGCAATGCCGTTTTAAATACCATGATTTGATTTGGGGATGTGCGAGAGAAAAATGAATAAATTCGTAAATTGATTTGCTTTGAATGTTATATTTACAGGCTTTGCGTTCTTTAAGAACTAGTTAACTACTAACTTTGCAATTAACTGAACAACAATAAGTAAATTATATGTATACTAATTATATCCCGAATTGTCTGGTCAAAATAATTGCATCTTTTCATTCCTGCCTAACTTTTTTTTAAATAATTAATTAATAAATTTAATGAACATCTCATCTTACTGTTCAAAATGAACGCACAATTTATACAAGGCGTACAAAAATGCAACACAAGCAAGTATTGTGGTTTGATATTTGTTTGTTGTTTGGTATATGCTTTAGCAAAAAGCTCTTTAATTTCATTAGAAAGTCTTAAAAATAAATTCAAGCTGGACTCTGATATGCATAACAGCGTTGGACTTCATAATAATAATATGATTAAATAAATCATAAACTTTCAATTCAAAGCCCGTTTCAAAATGTATCTATTTAACAAGCAAGTAGAGACTAACTCACGGGGCATATATTTTTTTTTCTTCTTTTTAATTTGTTTTTTTATTGGTTTCTATTACCTGACATAAATTTGGCACACAATTTATCTTAATTGGTATATTTATAAGTTGACGTGCCATCTACATAAACTAGGTTTTAGTCTGCTTTGCCAGGGCTAGACGTCACGTCGTGTGCATTTATACTTCGATTACTGTGAATAAAGGCGATTATTAATATTATCGTCATTATTATTGACACAAAAAAATATGTGACAAACTGCGTGATTTATATTTTTTCACACAAAGAATCTATTATTAGCGGGTTGACCTATCTTGTCCACTCACGCTGTATATTAAATCTTCTAGAACAAGAGTTTAACT